AAACATGCTATGGTTGCTGACTACTATCGCCTTGATAGTGGAAGGTTGTCTTGGGATGTGCGTTTCCGATGAGCTTTTCAGGATTGGGAGCTGGATGATGTCACTGGGTTTTTGGCTCTCCTCTACGGACAGGAGGTGGAGGGGTCTGGGGCAGATTCCTTGATTTGGGTGCCTTCTTCTCAGGGGATGTTTCAGGTCCGGTCCTTTTTTGTGTGCCTTTCTGGTTTTCATGGTACCTCATTCCCATGGAAGACGGTGTGGAGGTCTAAGGCGCCTCTTAGGGTGGCCTTTTTTGTGTGGACTGCAGCTTGGAGTAAGATTTTGACTTTGGACAATTTGAGGAAGCGAAGGCATATCATTGTTAATAGGTGTTGTCTTTGCAAGATTAATGGGGAGTCGGTGGATCATCTTTTGTTGCACTGTCCTGTGGCTCATGATTGTTGGAGTTTGATGTTTGGCCTGTTTGGTATTCATTGGGTCATGCCTCGGTCATCTTGGGAGTTGTTAGATATGTGGAGGGGCCAATGGGTGGGGGCTCAGGCCAGAGTTTTTTGGAGGGCGACCCCTTTTTGTATTTGGTGGAGCCTTTGGAGAGAGCGTAATGGAAGATCTTTTGAGGGAAAGGAATCCTCCATTGGGGTGTTAAAATTTTCTATCATTTGTAATTTGTTTTGTTGGGGTCAGGGGAGAGACTACTCCTCTCTTGAGGATATTGTTGATTTTATGAGCTCTTTGAGTTCATAGGCTCCGTTTTGTCTTTGTATAGTTTGGGACGCGTTCCCCTTTTAAACGCTTGTAATACAATTTACTTATAAAAAAAAATATCATTTATAATTTGAAATATAATAAATCTTTTTAATATATTTCCATCTCAATGGCATGTAGTGGATCAACAAGTGCATACCTTCCTACTTTAGAAACACTTTATTTATTAAAGGCTAGCCCAGTGCACGACTCCATCATTGCGGGTGTTGGGAGGGTCACTTTATTTACTAATGACTGATTATAGAATATAGAACTGCAAATTAAAATATCTTGTTTGCAAGGTGTTCTACTAGCAAAGGATTATAATATACAATTGGGTATTCATATTAAATAATTGAGGAGAGGATAACCAAAAGGGTTATACATGAAATTTGCAATTATGAATTGGATTGAATTGTTTGAGGATAAATCAACTCAAAGGGCCCTACCCTCTGAATGTCCCACTTATTTAAGGTGTCGGGGCAGTAAGGCTGGAGATAGACCTAAAATTTTACATTATGTGGCACAAATTTTGTGCTTTCAGACTCAAATATCTGTATTTTTCATTAAAAATGCTCAAAAGGGGAGCACACCCACAAATTTGCTTCTATATTTATTTTTCCTTCTATATTGAAGCGATGACTAGATATATTGATTCTCTATTTTTTTATTTTTTATTTTTTTTCTCAGTGTGCTTGCTTATAGAAATTTGTCAATCAGTTGGCCATCATTGTGCACTTGATCCTTACCGTAACAGCGGTAAAATGGTTAATGAACATTAATTTGTACATGTTTATTTTATTAATAATATCTTTGTTGTCTTTTCAACAAATCTTCTATGGTTTTCATAGGTAAGAGTCATCACAACATAGGCTACTAGTTTAGATTTATATATAAAGGGACAATTTAAAAGGAGAAATAAAATTATAAATATAAGAAATATGTGATAGAATTTATTTATTTTTGATAAGTGAATATGTGAGAGAATTTAAAAGGAGAAATCAAAATTATTTTAGAGTAGGATGCTAAAAGAAGTAATGCAGTATGCAAAAGGTGAAACAAATTTATTTTGGAATAGGATGACTGTATGCATTAAAAGATGTCAAAAGATGTCTTTGGAGAATCAAAATGAACAGGACCATTGTCTAAGGAGACTTGGGCGGAATGAACGAGTCCAAAGCGTCGTAACTTATCAAAAAAAAAAAAAAAAAAAAAAAAAAAAAATCAAGTCCAAAGCGTCTTAAAAATAAAATGGAAATACTATAAAGTTTGGCAAAAAACTAAAAATAGAGAAACCTTTGAAAAATATGAATATGTCAATAAGGAAGTTTAAAAAGTTGGGAGACGCTAAATATAGATCGTATGATGATTTCTACTATAAATTAGACACATGATGGAATGAAAGAACTCTATTCACTATCTATATAAATTTGCTAAACCAAGGGAGTGGAAAACTAGATATTTTAGCAATATTAAATGCATCAAGAGTGAAGATTTATAAGGTTTCTAGTAAAGGATGACAAAATCAAAGAAAAATGTAAAAGTTACTTTAAGAAATTATTGTATGAAAATCATATAGGAATTTATGTTTAGATTAGGGATAACATATTTTTTCGCAAGTTAAAGAAGTGCGAAATTAAAAATATATTATGGAAGATGAAATTAGGAAGGACTTTAAAACCAAATGGCATCCTTATTGAGGTTTCAAAATGTTTAGGGGATGATGACATGACTTGGCTAACCAAATTGTTTAGTAAGATAGAACAACTAAGAGAATGCCTGACGAGTGATGCAAAAACATTTTAATTCCTATATAATAAATAAAGGGGAGATGCAAAATTGTTTTATTGTTGTGGTATTAAATTAATGTCATACTATGATTGGGAGAGACCCATATCCAATGTAGACCCAATGATGCACCTATTTATAAAGAGGAAGAGTTGTTTGCCTAAATGGTAAGCAACAAAGAGCGGGCCAAAGCTTCCGTGGGATGAAGTAATTAATAATATTTTAAACACAGGAAAGGGGAAGGCCAAAATTAATATTGGTAGAGCTAGTAATAAGTATATGACAACATATGGTTTGACTGAGAGATTATGGCATTAGATAGCACAGAGTTGAAAATTTGGATTCAGGTAGTTGACTCCAAGTAGTGGAAAAAATAGGTTTATTGATTCGAGTTGAATTGTTTATCAGTGTTGTCCTGTGGCCTATAAAGAAGTTATAGTTATTAGTTACTAATAAAAAATAAAAGGAGTAGGATGACAGTGTTTCATTTTTGGCATATTGTCTGTTTTTTTCATTATTCTATATAAATTCTTTATCATTCCAACCTCATAATATTCTTTGAATCATATTTGTTTTGATTACATTATTCAAGGCTGCGATCTTGTACAACATTCTGTGAAAGTCAGGTCGCTTTGACTTACATTTAAGATTGTTTTAAATTTTTTTTTTTTTAAATTTTTTTTAAAATTGCAGTTAGTTACTTATGAAAAAAAATAAAAAAATAGTTGTTTACAAACTACACTTAATTTAGGGGCCACTGAACTGGATTATCAAACAACTGCCAATATTTTTTTTGTATGGCTGCCCTCAAAAACTTACCCAGGTTCCTGGGATCCTGGAAAGCTATTCGAAAAGGATGGGATGAGTTCTCCAAACGGATCCGGTTCAGAGTTCGGAGTGGGAGAAATGTTAGGTTTTGGAAGGACCATTGGTGTGGGGAGGTTGCTTTGGCTCGCAGATTTCCTCTCCTTTTCAGGATCTCTGTGAATAAGCATGCTATGGTTGCCGACTATTATCGCCTTGATAATGGGAGGGTGGTCTGGGATGTGCAGTTTCGTAGAAACTTTAATGATTGGGAGCTTCTGGAGGTTTCAGATTTCTTGGAATTGATTTATAGGCAGGTGGTGGACGGTATAGGTATGGATATTATGGTATGGAAGGGAAACCCGAGAGGGGTGTTTGAGGTCAGGCAGTTTCACCATTGTCTCATGGAGTATCCATGCCCCACATTCCCTTGGAAAGCTATATGGAAGACTAAACCCCCGTTGAAGGTGGCCTTTTTCGCTTGGACAGTTGCATTGGAAAGCATTCTCACTTGATAACCTGAGAAGGAGAAGTCAAATCGTGGTGAATTGGTGCTGCTTGTGCAAGAAATCGGGGGAATCTGTGAACCCGGTGGCAAGGGAGGTTTGGTCTATGTTTCTGGTTATTTTTGGTGTGGAGTGGGTTCTTTCAGGATCCACGATGAATATGTTATACTGGAGAGCCGTGTCAGAGATGCTTGGAGGGCCACTCCCCTTTGCATATGGTGGGGATTATGCGGAGAAAGAAATAAGAGATCCTTTGAGGTGTAGGAATCCCCTATTTGGTCTATCAAATTCCATATTTTATCTTCTCTTTTCTCTTGGGTAAACGGGCAAGATTGTACTTCGTTGGATATTCTTTTAGACTTTGTTAATAGTTTGAGATTCTAATGTTGCCTTGGGTGACTTTTGTTTACTGGGATTGCTTCCCTCTTGAGCGCAAAACCAGGAAAAAAAAAAAAAAGAAAAGAAAAGAAAAGAAAAAGGAAAGGCTACCCACAAGAAGTTTACCATCATGCAGATACATTTTCATAAAAGCATACTTCTCATAACTTCTTCTGTACACTTCTTTTACTTGAGTTCCTTTTAAGTAGAAGGGGTTATTTATAAATAATAATACGAATCACCTCATATGCTCTCTTTAGTTACTTCCCAGCTTAAAATTTGAGGGTCTTGCGTTTGTTTCTATTAAATAGATTTCTGTAAGAGTTATCTTCCATCAAACTTTGGTCAGTTCTGGATTGGATGTCATATGTTTTTGTTTCCTTATGTGTTTTCCTTCCTCTTCTAAATATGTTTCTTTCTTCACAACTTCTTAAAATCCACTTTTCTAGATATATCATACAGCTTAATGACCTACATGGCTTTTCTCTTTGTTGAATTTGCAAAGATGTCAAGATTAGCGTGCCACAATTGGATGCTGGTCCCCTCCCCCCCCCCCCCCAACACACACACACACACACACACAAATTTTTTTTCTATGGATGTTGATTATTACGTTTTTCGTATTTTGGTGTTGTTACCTATTACTTGACTCCTAATTTGTATCTTTATATGCCAAAAGATAAATAGTAGCTTTTTTATGTATATTGATTTGCACAGACATGCTCTAGGAAGCAATGTTTTCTTTTTGATAAGTGGCTCATACGGGTGCTCTTATTGCAGTTCATTGGAAATTATCAGGAAACGATTGGCGTCAGGACTGGGTGGGGTGCTGGTGAGTATAATTTTATTTATTTTTGGTTTATTATGAATTGATGACCTCATGTTAGTAACATAGAAAAGATGGCAAGGGAAATTCATTTTCAAAACAAATCACTTTATCTTACTATTTATCCTTGACCTTTTTCTTACGTAGCTTCCATGTGCTTCCAGGAGGTAACAATAAAAGAGATTCTTAGGCATTAATAATTTGAGTAAATGGATTGAGGGATCTTTGAGATGCAAGTGAGGATGCCATCCTACTTACGGCTTCACTAAATCTCTGCTCCCTTGACCAAGGATGGGAATGCAACCATTCCAGTACTAAGAATGAAATATCTAGAATTTTTACAACAAATTTATGCAGGTGTATTAAAAAATATTTAGGGTTTTTGTAGAACTCTAGAAAGTATAACACTACGTTCTCCAGAATATTGTAAAGTTCAACACTTCTTTTCCACTGGTTAGGCTCGAGTGAGTGTGTCTTGCCCGCAAATTTAAATAGGAGCATCCGGTCTAATCCCTAAACCCATCCCTGACTTCAAGCCAATATAAAATAAAAACATACACAACAACTTTTATCGAACTGTTCCACCAACTAATAATAATAATATTCAGAAGTCCACAACAAACCCTATATGAACTAATAAAATCCCAGTCCATCAGTTTCGTGGCTTTCCTAGCTTCAAGAGTCACTCATACTAGAAAATGAACTAATATAATAAATCCAATAAAAAAGCTCCATTCTGTCACATGCCACGTCATGAGTACCTGTAGAATAAATAAGGGGTGAGCTCACAAGCTGAACAAGTTTACTGCTCACCAAATTGATATTACCTTATGTTCTCGTATATAAGAGTAACTCACAATAATTAATAATCAAATTAATCATTTTAAACCTTTCTCAATGCTAATCAATTAATATCTCATTAATTGACATATCCTGCCTCATAATAATTATTCTCTTATTAGTTGACATATTCATTCTGATATGGTAGTTAGTACCTGATTAAGTATTATATTTAATTCTAATCTCACACAAGTGCAATTACTTTTTAGACCTCAATCAGTTTATTAGTAAACCACTCGATTAATATATATATTTTTTTGGATTAGTATTAGTTTTTTGTTTGTTAAAGCATATTTTCTTGGTCAAATCTTTTTAAGTAGTTAATCCTCTCAATTACAACTTATTAGGTTTTACGTTATTAACCCCGAGCAATGGGCTAAGCCGATGGTGTAGCGCTAATACTGGAGTTCCCCTCCCAACAATCAACGATATCCAACAACCTTAATAATTAAACAATATTTTTAACTTATTAACATTTAATGGTTAACCAATTATTGTAAGTTTTCAAAGCTTAGTCTGACACTTCTGTTCTATTTCAATTTTTTTTATGTTTTCAATATAATACTAATTTTATTAACTAATTATACTTCTATAGGTGTATTTATTATGTTATATCATATATATTTTTTCTTATTTCCATTTTATTACCTTTAATGGTTTTTGAGCCTTCCAATTCATTACACATTTCCCAAAGTAGTTGACACTGATCAATTTGAATAATTCTCAGATCAATCTTTACATCGAGTTCATACTCAAATGTGATCTCATAACACATGATCTGTCAGTTACAATATAATCAACATTATCCACCAACTACGTAATGTGGGTCTCACAACCATTCAAATTAATATCCATGTCTTGTGTGCCTAATTTAGGGAGAGAGTAGCATAGGTAAAAACCACTATTAACAGTTAATCTAGGCATAGTTGTTTAAGGCGCAAGGTCCTCTAAGGCGCCAAGGTCTCTTGGAGCCTAGGCGCAAGGCCTAGCAATTGTAGTTATTGTAATAATGAATGGTATAATAATTTATTATTGTGGAATATAAAATGCATATATGACAATTATAGAACACAAAAGTGCATTGTACAGTTGGGGGAAAAAATCTAACAGCTATGCAGTGCATCTTTGTTTGATGATCAACATAAATGTAAGATTGGAAAATATAGCAAGCACATTGTATGCAATTATTATTTTAATGAAATCTACCATTCTATCCAGATATCGTCACTTGTTTGTCTGCGTTTTGCATGCATCACTTGCACCAAGCCTGTTTTTATGCACACTTATGTTTATGTCTGAAAATTCCTCACCAAGCCAAGCCTTTCTTTTTGAAGTAGTCCTCACCAAGCCAAGCCTTGAGGTTTGTGGTTTTGGCGAAACCTGCTACAGCAGCTACACCTCACCTGTAAATTCTTTTTTTTTTTTTTTGATAAGTAATACTCACCTGTAAATTCTTGGTTATCGCCAATGCCTATCTGGGTTACCAACATGATTGAAGGGTCCAAAGTTGACATGGTTTCACACTATATTTTGAGAGGTTTTTAGAGGTTGTTGGTGTCCTCTTAATTCTTAATCAAACTACTGGCAATACATAGACGTATCAGTGATGCAGATACTTGGTTGAAGAAGAATGAGGAGGTCAGGGGTATCTATTCACACTGTTTCTGATCTTTAATGGAGGAGTAGCTGCCTTTTTGTAGTTTTAATTTCTGACCTTACATGATTGTTGTGTAATGAATTCTTTTCTTGCGGTTCTCATTCGTCGTCCTCGTCCTCGTCCTCGTCCTCATCATCATTATTAGCAATATCAGTATCATCTCATCTTCTTCTTCTTAAAGTCCTTAACTGGGATTGGTTGGTTGCCAGGAATAAAGGAAAAGGCCGTCCCTTGAACTCGCATATAATGCATTACTTTTCTAAAATCCTACTGTTTCTGCTTTCAGTTATCATTCCTTCTCACATGAAGTTGTTTTCTCAATTCAAATTAATATAAATTTCATCTTAATCAGTGTCCAAAATGAATAGCTTTACAATGTGTAGCTAGTTAAGCATTGCAGCAGCTCTTTGGTAAAGAGTTCGATCATATTTATGAATTAATTAATTCCCTTGTCAAAAACATTAATTGTTTTTTTCCCCTTTGCAGTTATAGTCGCAGAAACAGTTGCTCTTATCGCTGCTAGCACTGTCCATAGAGTTTGTATCACAACATGGTAATGCTTATGCTTTAGATATTCTTTGTGTATTATTTTTAGTTACTATATATTTTTGCTTCAAAGGAAAATACTATTTTTGGTGGCTAAATTAGTCTGATTTTTTGTCATAATTGATGTGGCAAGGGTACTCTGAAAAATAAGTTGGCGTTGATGACTTGACGTTAGTTTTTCCTTTTTGAAAGTAAAATGCTTTTCATGTAGGGCTGCCCTTTCCATGGAGGGCTATTTGGCGTTGAAGGCCCCTCTCAAAGTGGAGTTCTTCGTGTGGACTTCATTTTGAGGAAAATATTGACCTAGAATAACCTTTAGAGGAGGAGAGGGATTGTGGTCAATTTATGTTACATGTACAAGAATGACGAGCAAACGGTTGATCACCTTCTTTTGCATTGTCCAGCGGCTTGAGATTGCTGGATTTTATTCTTTGGTTTGTTTGGGGTTGAATGGGTTATGCCCAGGTCTTCCAGAGACTTGGTTGAGGCTTGGAGAGGTTGTATGGTGGGGGCCCAAGTTCGTGATTTCTGGAGGGTTGAGTCTGATGGTGTTTATGGCTTGAAAGAAATACGAGATCCTTCGAAGGGAAAGAGAATCCTATAGGAACATTAAAGTTATACGTTACCCTTTTTTATTGGGTTCTAGGGAGAAATTGTAATTCTATGGAGGAGTTTGTAGATCTTATGGACTCTTTGAGGTTTTAGGGGCCATATTTGGCCTTGTGTAGCCTTTGAGGGATGCGTTCCCCTTTTGAACGCTTTTTATACAATCATTACTTATATAAAAAAAAATGCTTTAAACGACATTAGATAGGATTAGGGGTGTTCATTGGATCTGCCAATCCATGAATCCAATTTGATCCAATCCGTACGGATCAGATCAGATTTTTAACCCAATGGTTCGGTTAACAGATTATTAAAGATAGGGATTTGTTTGGGTGGTTTCTGAAGCATTATGAAAATACACTGCATTTGTTGTAGGATGTGGCTCGGACTGTGGATTTTTACTTCATATGTGCGCATTTGATTACTGTCATCATATTTAGAATTTCATTTGAAAAAAACAATATATTATATTAATTGTAGGAGCAGTCTTAATTAATAATTTTTCTCTAATTTCCAAAAAAAATGTTTTTATTAATCAGTTGGGGTAATTCTATTGGGCTATGGTTAAAAAACAAAATTATTGGTTTGTGTAGAAAAATTCAATCCTTAAAACTGACCCGATCCAATCCAATATTTCATGGATCGGATTGGATTGGTTTTGATTAAGTTTTCCCATGGATCAGTTCAGTTTCTATTTTTACTATTTCGTAGATCACGGTCGGATTAGGTTTAATGTCTAATCCAATCCGATCCGTAGTCATCCCTTAGAATGATGGATCTTGGTGCATAGCATTATTGCTATTTTATAGTGAATGAATTGCTTTGGCATTCAGTCATGATTGATGTGGCAAGGGTACTTTAGAAAATTAAATAACTTGGCACTGATATATATATTTTATTATCTTTTGATAAGTAATAATTTATTAAAAGCACTCAAAAGGGGAGTGCGTTAAAAGGAAAATGCCATAAGTCATGGTAGGTAGGATGATGGATGGTGATGCATGGCATTACTCTATGTGAAGTCATAAGCAACATAAAATAAATATTATTTTTGAATAGTAATAATGATATCATTGTTTGATATGTTGCTAGCCTTGGGCTAAATGTTCAATTTATATAAGGATTGGATTATCCAATTAAAGGAATATCAGATATGGATTTATTGAAGACATGCCCGTTGGATTATCAAATCAAATCGGATCCCATTTTCTTCTCAATGGATTTAGATTGGATCGATCTTGATCTAATCTGTTGTCAGGTCTAACTAAGTGGCAATTAATGTTGGTGTTTCGTGTCAAGTGTTTTGCAATATGGGTCAATACGAACACGACAGGGCCACCTGATTATTATTCGTTTCAACTTTCAAGGTTTACATGATGTGATTATTACATGGGTAACACGACATGATGTGCCTACCCCGTTTAATAAATGAGTCAAGACACAACATGTTTAATTAAAATTTCATACTATTAGGGCCAAATCAACACGAACAATACTTGTTTTGTGTAACAAGTTATTTCTAACACGAACACAACATGTTCATCAGATACATTAATTTAAACTGGTGATTTCTAACACGAACATGACACATTTAATTAAACGGGCCTAATGGGGTTATAAGCGGGTTGCCAGGTCAAATACGAACGACACATTTAATTAGCGTGTCAATTCGGTTTGACACGATTATGACCTGAATATGATTTAGCCAAACCAAAACTCCCTTATCCTGTGTTGCGTTTGAGTTGTGTTAACGTCTCGTGCCTAGTATTGTCACCCCTAACTAAGGCCTTGCGGCTAACAACTTTGATTTTTAAGAAAATTAAATGAACCAATGTATGTTAGGGGGAGAAGGCGAGTAGGGAAAAAACCCAAACAAACGAGATAAATCGTTTCTCAAAACTTGTTAACAGTTGAGATGTATCCAATAAATAAATAAACAATTTGTTAACCATTGAGGGAAATATTACCCTTGGAGGGGTTTGTATTAGACATGAACGGGAAGGGAATGTATTGAGAAAATCTTGAACTATCTTGATGATAGAAGACAAGAATATCATAAGTAAAAGAAAGGTGTGTGAGCTTGTATTTTTGTCACATCCAGTGATAATGGATATCTGATTCATTGACAACCTCTTAGTTTCCAATAGAAAAGACCTCCATACCAATAATGATGTAGGGAGATGCAAGGTCACTTTATCTTAAGCCTTTGGCACTGTGGAAACCCACGGAGTCGGAGTTCATTTATGCTGATATGAGTACATTAATGCAGATTTTGATCCAAGAGATGTAGAAATGGGAAAAGCCAAGAACAGCCAAGGTGTCAGGCAGAAAGTTCAATTTTATAGGGTCAAAAGCTTTGTGAATATCCGGTTTGATGGCACATCTAAAGCCTAAAGGGGCCTTGGTAGTTGCAATAATTCCTCATGAACTCATGAGCTATAAAAATGTTATCACTCTGTTCTGAATGAAGGCATATTGAGTTCCAAAATTAAGAGAAGGAAGGATTTCCTCGAGTATGGTGGCTAAAATTATAGAAACACACATCTAAATTGTGGTACAGTAAGCTATAAGTCTAAAATTCCTTCTACCATAAACTCTGGTGTTCTTTTCAGGGCAAAGGCTGAAGAGAGTTGATTTAAGTTCATTTGCAGTAACTGTAGTAATGAGATTTAAAGGTTGGGCTTGAGGGAGCTGTTTATATGTATGTATGTTTGAATTCTTTTTCTTGGAAACGATTTACTTTGAAGAAAGAGACGATCTGTGCTGAGCTTGGAAAAGAATTTCTTAGGTTGGCTTCATTAGGAAAACGCTTAAAAAACAAACTTAAAAGAGCTTCAATAGTGTTATCAATTTAAGCTTTCAGAACTCAGAAAATGCCTAATTCTTCAATAGTTCTTTTTTCCTGAAAATTATAGGGCTTTCTTATGTTTTAGTTACTATTTATCGAGGAAGGTGAAACAATTTTGTTTCTCAGTGGAACTCTGAGAAGTTGACAATAACATCGAGCAGCTTTTAACAACTTCAATGCCATATGGTTGGGACATGGTGGTAATGTCTCAAGTTATGATACATTGATCGAGTTCATCAGTTGACTCGATTACTGAAGAAAATAATTAAAAACATGTAAGATTGTTCTTTTCTGTTTTCAAGATATTGTTTTAGATAGTCGCTACTCTTCCCCCCCTCCTTTTATATGAACAAATGATATTCTAAAATGGTGGCATGAGAGATCTTTACAAGTAGGCAACATTCTACATGCAGCATACTGAGAGATAACATCACTGTTTATCACCATCATAGAACTGTAGTCACACACACACACACACACACACACACATACCCACCCTGGAAGGTAAAGAAGTACCACTAGATTACAGCCCTTGGTGAATTGTAGAGATATTATGTGGTTTTGTGCATTCAATTAGATAGATGGCCACATCAAAATAGCAAAAGAATTATTTTATGTTAAAGGAAACGATTCAGTTTGTTGTGGCATTTGAATATACGAAGATATGCGAATGCTTTTAGATTAAGCAAAAATAAGAATTATAATAAATAGGAATATAGAAAGAAATTGATATGCTTATAATGCCATACTAATGTGTTTGAATTCTAATGCAGTTTCTTATTCTCTGCTGGACTACTGTATGAGACCAGCAAGCTTTCTGGGATGATGCTTTCGAAAAGTGAATCTAAAACGAGAAGGCACTAAGTGGAACATTGCAATTCAATATAATTGGCTGGTTCCCGTTGGAATTTTTGTTACTTTTTTTTGTTTGATACCTTTTAATTTATGTATGGTGGTTTGATGTATTAGATAATGGATATGAACTATGTTTTTGAAAATCTTATCTATTAACTTTTACCTGGTAGCAGGGGCTTGATGCCGGGTGAAGAAATTGGAACCTACCTCCTCTTGCACTTTTGGGTGAAAAAACTCGCTTTCCCCTAATCTTCTATTTTTTTATTTTTTTTATTAACATACCTTTTTATAATAATCATGTCGAGAACGTATTAAATATTCCGGGGTATGGTAAACTGGGTCATACTTGGATGTGATGGAGCCCACCATCACATTCATGATCCAACGGCTTTCGCTGCCTGGGAGTACCATACCCCAGGGTATTTAATACTTTCTCAATTCTTTAGTCAAGCTGGGATAATCTCTCCTTCCACATGGGGGTGTTTACCTAGTGAAGACAGTAGCAAGAAGAGAGTAACCAGTGAAAACAGCAGTCTGCATTTATTCAAGGACTCCTTTTTTATTGACAAAGGTAGTTATGATATTTTTGTTGGAAGGTGACTTCAAGAAAAATGGAATTTATGCGGGTTAGAATATTTTTATTTTTTTTTTACTATACTCGAGCAAGACTGACAGTTTGTTATCTCACTCAATTCTTTAATTATAAATATTTATTTTATTGTAAAATACTTGAAAATCTTTCTCAACTTTAAATTTTTGCGCCTTGGATGTAATAAACTTTTACCTTACTAAATATTGACAAAAAGTCCAATGGTCCTATGTTTTGAATCATTCAACACTATCGTCGTGACTTGTATCTCTGATTTTGGTGCACCGTAAAAGTTTTCAAACCAGGATGCCTAAAATTATGTTAAAATTACTTTTGTGCTGCATGTGGTGTACATGAATGCAATGTCTATTCTAATAATTTTTTTATTTGGTATCCAATTTAGAGTGGAAATGATCATTCAATTTAAATTTGTCACATTGTCGGATACTAGGACTGGTTAAAAATGTTATCTGACACTAAATGGTGATAGAATCACTCCTGAATACATTAGGTAGAAGAATCATGTAATATTTTAGGATAGGATTAGATCGAATAAACTCGAACCCATTTTACTTAGAAAGAGAAAATTATTAGAAAAAAAAAATACAAAAGGCTAAAACCGGCTGTTGGTTTAAGTTGTGAGAAAAAAAAGGCTTTGACAGCACTGAAATAAGTTTAAAATAAATTATAAAAAATTAGATTTTCTTTTATTAAATTAAATAACTATGTTTTTTACTATTAAATATATTCTTCTCTAATTAGATTTCCTTTTAATGAATTTCACTAGTTTAATTTTGTAATATTATATGTTTCATTCTATAATTAGTTTTTTTTCTACAATTTTATTATTATTAGTATATCCAATGACTATATTATTAAATAAGTTTTTTAGTATTATATAATTCATTCTCTAATTAGATTTTCATTTACTGCAGTTTTGTATTTTCTACTACTATATTATAATTATTAGTATTTCCTTCTATAGTTAAATTTTATTTTATTGACCTAAATAAATAAGTTTTTTAGTATTATATATTTCATTCTCTAATTAGATTTTCTTTTATTGAATTCCGTAGTTTAATTTTTAAATATAATATATATATTTTTCTAATTAACTTTTTATTTATTTATTAATAAATTAATATCTTGAAATATAGAAATACTGAAACTCGGTAGTGAAGAAATGAGCAGATTTCTACTACATCCATCCCATTTTCTCTACAGTGCCCTGCAGAAGCACAAAAATGATAAATCAATGAAACTGTTCCATGAAAATGCAACTAATGCAATTAATACAACACATGATAATTATTATACAAACACATTACCTCTTCATTAATTTTATAGCATAATACTACAATGGTAAAATGATTTCCATATTTACACAGCAATAATAGAAAATAATAGAAAAGATCATATTTACACAAAGAATCATTTAAAACACATGGAATGCTAATGCAAAAACCATAAATTAGTGAGGGGAGGTCAGAAGTTAATTGGTTTTCTGTTCCAATAAATGGTATGGACATGCACGTGAATTGTTTTCTTCTTGGCTTTTATGGACATGCACGTGAATTGATTTCTTCTTGGCTTTTATGGACATGCATCGTTCAATAGGATAGCATGTTCATGTTGGGCACAGCGGAAACTAAATATAATTTAAAAAGAAAAGTAATTCTAAATCACAATACAATATTTACATAGTTTATTTCAAATTTAGGATTACGTTTGAAATTCTACTAAAATCATATAGAGATATTACAAAATCATAAATTCTTTTTATCCGTTGTACTCATACCATGGTGACACGGCTCTCTACCCATACTATCAACATTAAGGTACGTATAGAACCCAAACCTCAACTTCTTGTTCAACAATTATTGTCCTTCAAGGCTCCACCTTGAATTTAACCCTTCTTGTCCGGCTCCAACTTGACTTGAAAATCTTGTATGTAACTCATCACAATCCGTCTTGCTCTTTCTGGATTGAGAGTACAAACCCACTATTTTATTTTATTTTATTTAAGGTTGGGAGCGAACTTTGGCTAAGAGAAAAACCACACTCCTCTTTTCCAGGCTGAGAAAACGAACCCACTCTTCTTTTAGATTGAGAACAAACCTTGGATGAGAGCAAAACCACAATCTCTTTTTCGAGCTGATTACAGAAAGAAGAAAAGGAGTGTGATGAAGGTCTTGCTTTCAACTTAGAAATGTATTGTTTAAAAATGTATTGTACAATACATCTTAGAAAGAGGAGGGTCTTGCTTTCATCCAGAAGTGAGGATTATCACAGTGAGCATGATGGGGTGACAAGCATGATGCCAACAGCACCAACTAAAAGCTTCAAGTAAGGTTACTTTCTGAATTAATACATTTTTTAAATATATATATATATATATATATATATATATATATATATATATATATATCTTCATTTTAATCAACACTCTTCTATTTTGCAGGTGCTTAAATCGTGCAGCACTGAAAACAGAGGAGGACACAATTAGAAGGCAAAATCACAAGATCATGGAGGCTATGCAGTGTGCAACAAGTAGGAGATCTAAAGACTTAAATCAGAATTTTCCCACTATGGTCCACTAGTATTTTATTAAGCACCACAATAGTACTTTATTAAGCACCACAATAGGAATCCAATAAATGGTATGGACATGCACGTGAATTGATTTCTTCTTGGCTTATATGGACATGCATGTTCAATAGGATAGCATGTTCATATTGGGCACAGCGGAAGCTAAATATAATTTAAAAAGAAAAGTAATTCCAAATCACAATACAATATTTACATAGTTTACTTTAAATTCAGGTTACGTGCGAGATTCTACTAAAATCATGTAGAGATATTATAAAATCGTAAATCTTTCTTATCCGTTGTACTCGTGACACGTCTCTTTAACGATAACATACGTCGCAATTATTTATAGAGCCCAAACCTTAACTTCTTGTTCAACAATGATTGCTAATCAAAGCTTTCCAAGTCAACTACTGAATCTAACAACTCACTCTTATTGTCCTTCAAGGCTCCACCTTGAATTGAACCCTTCTTGTCCTTCAAGGCTCCACCTTGACTTGAAAATCTTGCATGTAACTAATCACGATCTGTCTTGCTCTTTTTGGGCTGAGAGCACAAACCCTTTATTTTTTATTTTATTTTTTTAAGGCTGGGAGTGCACTTTGGCTGAGAGAAAAACCACACTCCTCTTTTCTAGGCTAAGAGAACGAACCCCACTTTTCTTTTAGATTGAGAACAAACATTGGCTGAGAGCAAAACCGCAATCTCTTTTTCGAGTTGAGAGAACGAACCCTAACAACCATGGTGACTGAGCAAGCCAACTGATTGACTCCACCTGCAACTGAACCCGTTGCAACAATTGGTGAGACTTCTTATGTTTTGTGAATCTTTTTCTTGACTTAATATTAAACATCCAAGCCAAACCAAGTCAAACCATAGGTTCTAATACCACTTGTTTGGCACCGCAGAAATGTAATTTAAGAAGAAAAGTAATTCCAAATCACAACACGATATTTACATGCTACGTCCAAGATTCCATGTAGAGATATTAACAACTCGTAAACCCCCTCTACCCATTGTACTCACTCCCTCACGAGATTGCCCTTACGGATTACACGTCTCTCCAATCATACTTTCAACAATAACCTATGTAATTACTTATAGAGCCCAAACCTCAACTTCTTGTTCAACAATGATTGGCAACAACTATTACAAAAATTATACGACTCTAACACGTAAATCACAATAGAATTTGAGACATTATCCTAACAATTCATGCATCATAAATTTCAACCAGTAGAAAATTTCTCTCCATGTATCCCTTGAATAAATTCTTCTTTACATTCCAAAATCATGCTTTAATATGTTCACCGAATCCTATTTTGGGGTGCATAAGTGCTAATTACATTAAAATTGTTTCGGGGTGCATAAGTGCTAATTACATTAAAATTGTTTCCTCCCTATTAGAAGTAGAGAGAGAGAATAATACAGAATTGTATTAATGTATGTGATCATGATAAAACAGTACAAATGTGGTATATATAGGTGAATTTTTTTTTTTTGTTTGAAAAATATATAGGTGAACTTATGAGGGTACGTATGTGAGTGTTGCCTAAGTAAACCTATACATGGTAGCTAGGGGTAGGTGAGGAGGCTGTTGTACATCAGAAAAACCCTAACCCTAATATTATGTAACATACCCCTCAAAATCAAGGTGGGTTAAATTAAACCATCTTGAGTTTGGAAATGAGATATTGAAAGTGGCGTGACAGAAGCGATTTGGTGAAGACATCTGTTTTTTGATCATGGGAAGTGATGGACCGCAAGTGCAATACATTATCAAGAAGGTGATGTCGCACAAATAATAATCAATCTCAATGTGTTTGGTGCGCTCATGAAAGACATCGTCTGAATTGCACTTTTATTATCACAGTAAATAGGAGTAGTAGTCGACGAAGAAACTCCCATATCCTGAAGAAGCCAACGTAACCATAGTAACTCAGAAGTTGTATTTGTAAGTGCTTTGTATTCGATTTCTGTACTATTTCTAGCCACCATAATCTGTTTCTTACTACGCCAAGAGATAAGTGAGTTTCCAAAAAAGATGCAAAAACCTATAGTAGAACGGCAATATGTTAGGTCTCCTGTCCAGTCAGCATCTGTATATGTACAAAGTATAAGAGGTGACTGATGAGAAAAATGGAGTCCATGAAACATAGTATCCTTGAGACAGCGAAGGATACGAACAACAACAACAAAATGAGAGGACTGCCGTGCAACCATGAATTGACTCACAATATGAGAAATATCTGGGTGAGTGACAGTAAAATATACCAAACTACCAACCAATTGATAATTATTCTAAACTTAATAATTGTTGCTCTGAATGTGTATCTTATTCGATCTAGTTATTCTTTTGGATTTGATCCTTCAAAGAATGAGTACAAATGGAGTATATACAGGTGAACATATGAGGGTAGGTGTGTGAATGTTGTCTAAGTAAACCTATACATGGTAACTATGAGTAAATGAGATGCTTGCTGTACATCAAAAAATCCTAACCCTAATTATGTAACACTCCCAATTCAAGTTTTACTGATAAAAGCTGTAAAATCTTACAATGACTAAAAAAACGACTAAAAAAACGTTTATCATCATCATCATCATCATCATCATCAATCATCAATCATCAATCAACATGCTAATGAGCCAATTCCTAAGTATGACAAAATACAACCTTTTGACAGACAAAGGAAGTAAACACAAGTTGTTGGAGGTAAGAACAATAATGGTATTTGAAAGTTTTTGGACCCATTACCCAAGGCTCAGTTGTGTCGTGTCTGAGTGTGAGCAATCAATTTGACATAAGAAGGGGTGAATAGGTCTTATCGATGTTATTTTGCCTTTTAACTAACTTTTGAAATCACTGAAAACCATAAATTTTGCTATGCATTAATTTGGACTTCAGTTTTTCTGAAGGAATTTAATTATCTACTCTTCTAGTAATTCATGTACTTGGCTATTGACTAAATTTCTATTTTCTATGAAAGCCAAAGTGATAAACACGAGGCCGTCCTATGACCACTTTCATCTTCCTATTATTTATTGCATATTTGTGGTCTAATTATATACTATTATTGCTTCCACAATTTAGATGATTTATTTAATTTTTTGTTTATTGTTTTTGTGTATATATATTAGACCACAAATATGCAATAAACAATAGGAAGATGAAAGTGGTCATAGGACAGCCTCGTGTTTATCACTTTGGCTTTAATAGAAAATAGAAATATATATATATATATATATATTTTTTTTTTGTATTTTTACCTTTTGAAAAAAACAAAAAGTTTGAGCTCAGTTTAGCTTCTTAGGTCAACCTCATTGGTGGAAAATCACCTCCAGTAAAATAGTGCAAATATTTGCTCCATTTTTGTGAATGAATGATCCTGGTCCAACCTCATTTAGGTCGTGCAGTTGTGAATGGTGGTTGGTCGTGCAGTTGTGAATGGTGAGGGCAAGTTGCAATTGACATTATTTCTGTGTAAACTTGAGTCATTACCAAAATCATCAACATCACAATCAAGCAGAAAGGGAAAGATGTGGACATTATTTCTTACGATAAAACCTCAAAATAACCCTAATTCAAATTTTTTTTAACACTCCAAAATATCAAATGCAACTACAAAATTTAAATAATAATAATAATAAAAAATAATATGGAACAATACCAAAAATAATCAAATTGCACAGCTTTCATATAGTAGATTTCCAAAGAGGTCTAATGGGTATTTTAATCAATTACTATTTTAGTTTCCTTTCAATTAACGTTGTCAGCCTGTCACCCCCTTGATAGTTGGGGATTTTTTTTTTTTTTTTTTTTTTGTGTGTGTGTGTGAAGGGGTTTAATGTTGTTCACCCAAAAGAAAATTAAGTTATACTTAAATCAAATGTTTTTCATGACATTCAACAACTCATTGGAGTTGGTAGATAAAAAGACAATAAATCAAATTTGGGAAGAGATCTATGTGAAGGTTGGATTTTATTCATTTATAAATTTAAATTGGTAAGAAATGGAAATAAATAAATTGTAATATATACCATTCCATTGGATAAGAATTATAAAAACAATCCGTTTCATTTGAAACTTATCTGAACTATTCTGGATTCTGAAACTCTAATGTCACAAGTTGCTTGGGCTCTATCCCATTAGGGTTTTAGGGTTTTTACCCTTCTGTACGTAGGGTTTTGGGGTGAACAACAATGGTGAAACGAGGAAAGAAGTTCTTCAAAGTTTATCTCCCAGGTCAAAGCACTCAACAACTGGTAATCTCTCTTTTTCTTACAACTAACAACTACTACCAATCTTGTACCATGATCGATTGTTGAGGAAAATGATAGTTTCGTTACGAATTTTTTTTTTTTTTTTCATCTTATAACATGGACCATAAGATTATAAGGTCAATTTTCAATTCTAAAGCAATATATTGAATGAGTTGCACTTTATAAAATCAAATGAAACGTAGTGTATCTCTCTATACTGCTGTACACTATTCATTTAGCTAAGAAATTTTATATAAATGGTGCAATGGGTGATATAAACTCACAGTAATTCTTTTGTGATGGCTATCATAAAAATAAAAAGAAAATCATGAGGACTAGCTTAACTTTTATTTTTAAATTAACTTTTGATCTGTTATAGCGAATTCCTCCGGCATTCATCAAGGAATTCAATGGAACCATACCTTCCAAGTCTACAATTATGAATCATGGAAGGAGGCAATGGAGGGTGGAAATGAACATGGTTGGTAACAATCTGTATTTTCAAAATGGTTGGCACAAATTTGTGGGAGACAATACGTTAGAATACGGAGATTTTCTAGTATTCTCTTATTTTGGTAGTTCAAAGTTTTATGTCAAAATATTTGGAAAAAGTGGCTGTCTAAAGGAGGTTCCAATCCCTACTGGGAAGACTACTCAAAAAGCACTTACAGTTTTCCAAGAAAATCAGACATTTAAACCCAGTAAGTACATGTTAATTTCTAGTGGAGCATACAAGTTTCCAACTTGCCTCAAAAGATCATAAGAGTATTTATCATATATATAGCTGATGTATAAATATATACATATAATGCAGGAAAGTCTGAAGAAAGAGGCAAGCAGATAGCTATTGAAGAGAATGATGGAGCTCGTAAAGCAGCAACAAAATTCGACTCTGCATATCCTTTCTTCCAAATAGTCATAAAACCATCTTATTCAGCTGAAATTAAGGGTTGTTTTCTGGTAAGGTTATAACTCCAACATTTTTTTACCAAAATTCAACCAGAACACACACACACAATTCATTTATATAGCTTTTACATATAGTAGGATAAGGAACTTAAACTCTTCTATTAGGCCACATTACTCACCAGATCGAATACTTATTGCATTGTTTGTGAAAAAATGACTGCTGACCATTGTCACAACTCAGCATTTGGGAGTCACAAAGTAGAACCAATTTCATCCGAGACATGAGAGTTCACAGTCGATCGTTGGTAGCATTTCTTTGGAAACATTTCTATAACTGTATCAGAGCTAGCTAGCATTAACTAATTATTAGGGCAAGGTGATGCAAACGAAAAAATGGCTTGAAATTGACAACTATATGTACAAAAGTACTTTTGATGTCAAGCTAAAATTTTTGTTATCCCACTTGTTTTGATTTGTTCACATTGTATATCATATTATATAAACTTGTAACTTGTGCAGAATATACCATTTAGGTTCTTCAAGGAGTACATGGAAAAGGGTAAAGAGAATGCTGTTCTTCATGTGTCAACGAAGTCATGGCCTGTGAAAGTGAAAATCTATCAAAATCGCCAAGCCAGGTTTTCTATGGGTTGGGCAGCATTTGCTAAAGATAACACCCTGAAAGCCGGAGATGTTTGTGTCTTTGAGCTAATTAAGAGAGATGATTTTGTGTTGAAAGTTTCTATCGTGAGGGGTTGAATGTTTGCTTATTATTTATATATATGTTGAATCAATGTTGACAACTTACTATGATCATACACTATATGTAATATGTTGGATATGGATTATGTTGAAATTGTTACAGTCCTAATCATTTAAGCTCAAGCATTGAAAGGAATGCAGGAAAAGAAAATTGAGATTGGCTAAAACTGGAAGCCCAATGCCTCTCTAGCTTCAAATGACAACACGTCTTGTTTGTTAAAGCAGATTTGTTAGCTTGAGCTATGTTTTTGTGTTAGTGCATGTTTGGTGTTGAGGGTGAAATCCACGCGGTCCGATATGACACCGTTTTCCTGCAAAAGAGAGAGTAGAAGATCGATGAATCTTGACGGCACCGGTGTAGTGCCTGCCAAGAACTCTCCGACGATCAAGTCAGTCACCGGAGGTCTAAAAGAAAAGCAGGGATTTAATAATAATTTTTTATTGTACCTTTATTGACTAGTAGAATCTTATTCTTATAGTCGCTCTCCCTTAGTTCATTTGTGGGATCAGGAGAGATCCGTGTGTGCGGGATCAGAGGAGATCCGCTTATGCGAGATCAGAGGAGATCCGTTTGTTGCCAGATTTGTCGGGGATATGATTTAACCCTTTTGACTTCCTCAAATTGTGCCAAAGTTAACCACGTCATATTTCATTATCTTTGATAATGAAATATTATCATTCTTATCCAATGGAAATATCATCGTTCGAAAGTCGAAGAGGTTTGGCGGCTGATTAACACTTAGTTGCCTCTATCGTTAGGTTAAGGTAGGTCAGGTTTATTTTTCCTTATCAGTTGCCCTCCATTCCCAAGCTTGCTCGTTTAGCTTTGGGAAAGTGAATTTTTTTTTTTTTGCCTCTGGCATTGTTCCCTCGAAAATAGTGCTCGCGGGGTTACTGTTCACATGAACAGTAGACTTTTTTTTTTGGGGCCCTGGGCATTGTTCCCTCGGGAATAGTGCTCGTGGGTTACTGTTCACATGAACAATAGACTTTTTTTTTGGTGCCTCAGGAACAGTGCCCGCAAGTTACTGTTCACATGAACAGTAATTTCTTTTATTTTTTATTTTTTATTTTCCTTTGAGTACTCTTCCCTTGAGTAATATTCCCTTGTGTACTCTTCCCTTAGGTAATGTTCCCTTGGTACTCTGCCCTTGGGTAATGTTCCCTTAGGTAATCTTCCCTTGGGTACTATTCCCTTGGGTACCCTTTCCTTGGGTAATGTTCCCGTAGGTGCCCTTCCCTTGGGTACTCCTCCATTGGGTAATCTTCCCAATGGTGGAATTAATACAGATACCAAATCAAGGTTCTGTTTTAGAAGGGCATGGATTCAAACCCATGGTCAATAACTTTTAGTGATGTAAAACTGGATTTTTCTTTTGAAAATCCAATATACTAGTTGTAAACTTTATGGGTTTCAGTCAGCCCATTCCTTGGGTACTATTTTTGGTACCCTTGGGTATTATTCCCGCAGGTAAGTTTTTTTTATAGGCTTCAGTCAGCCCATCCCTTTGGCAAGGGAATAAATTTTACGAGCTTCACTCAACTCGCCGTTCCTTTAATAAGGGAATTAGGTTTTACGAGCTTCACTCGGCTCGTTCCTTTAGTACAAGATATTTATTTACTATTCCTTATAGTATAGGGATATTGATTATGGGATTCATTAAACCCGGATCCTTTTAGTACATGACATTTATTTACCATCCTTTATAGTACGGGGATATTGATTACGTGATTCATTCAGCTCGAACCCTTTTCGTACATGACATTTATTTAATATCCCTTATAGTACGAGGATATTGATTACAGGATTCATTAAGCCCGGGCCCTTTTAGTACAGGTTATTTATTTATTATTTCTTATAGTACGGGAATATTGATTATGGGATTCATTCAGCCTGAGTCCTTTTAGTACATGACATTTATTTACTATCCCTTATAGTACGGGGATATTGATTACGTGATTCATTCAGCCCGGGTCCTTTTAATAAAGGACACTCATTATCATCCCTTGTAATACGGGAGGTAGTCGTCTCATCTCTCTAGTAAATGAAGGAAGCTTTAATTATCTCACCCTTTTGTGTAGAAAGAGTAGTCGACTTCTTGTCCCTTTAATAAGGGAAGAATGTGTTATTAGCCCTTGGTCCCTTTAATGAGATAAATAGATTATTATGAGCTTAATATTACCACATAGGTAGGTAACTGAAAACATAATATTTTATTGCGTAGAAATTGAGAGTCATCCATATCATTGGTGATGGTAACTTTATTAGAAAATAAAATAACACGTGAAACGATGAACTGAGATGCCCCGGTCTTTATTCTGAATGACTTAATAAGGCTAATTCTAGTTGTGAGACAATTGTTAGTTGGTATACTTATCTGAGTCATCTTCACGATATGTCTTATCGCTTTGGCTGAAGAATGATCTCTTATAGCTGGTATCATTTTCATCCCTGGTAAGAGGGGCTGACCTCTTCTTGTCCTCTCATTCCTTTCCCTTCCGTGCATTCATGGCGTCTTCAGCGTTCATGTGTTTTTGCGCTTTGATCAACAAATCTGCTATGCTGGTGGGAGGTTCTTTAGATAAGGCGAACAAAAATCTAGAGGTTTGGAGTCCTCCTATGAAAGCGGTCAAAGCCACTTTGTCGTCCACCTCTTCTACCTGCAACATCTCTGCGTTGAATCGGGTGATGTATTCCCGGATCAACTCTTCCTTCTGTTACTTCACGGTAAGCAGGTAGGTGGCCGGCCTTCTATGCCTCTGACCTACAATGAAGTGGCTTACAAATTGCTTACTCAGTTCTTCGAAGGTGTTGATGGTTCCTAGCTTCAGCTTGTTGAACCAAACTCTTGCTGATCCCTTAAGTGTAGTAGGAAAAGCTCGACACATGATTTCATCTGGCACGGCGTGTAAATGCATAAGAGCTTGAAAGGTCTCCAGGTGATCGAGGGGATCTTTGGTCCCATCGAAGCTTTCGAATGAGGGCATCCTGAACTTGCTCGGCATGGGGCATTTCATAACGGCGGGGCTGAATGGCAAGTTGGTCCTCTACACCAGGTCATCTATGGCGGTAGGACTTTTCCCTTTCATAGCTTACATTACATCTTTCATTTTTGCCATGAGATCCTCAATCTGTAGGTCGAAATAGGTAACTTTCTTTGTCTTTTCCTTGACACAAAAAGTTGTGCCTATCTGAGACTAGGAATTCCACGGGGGCAGGGAAGGAGGTTCTCTGTGTCGGATTCTGACTTGGCTTTGTTCTGCCTCGAACTTGTGAGAAGGATTGTTTTCTCGGTCCTCCTCGTGTTGTCCCCTATCATTCAAATTGGGAGGATATGGGTCGGACAATTCTTGTTGAGGTGGTGGTCCCACTAGGATAAGATGTTGCAGGATCTCTGCATTTTGTTGGATCAACTAGTCCATACCCTAATTTAGAGTTTAGACCTATAGTTCTAATGCTGCAAGCCGTTCCTGGTCATTCGGGACGTTTGGGTGTTCACCCGACCCTTCTCTTTGACTGGATCCCTGCAACGATGTTTCTGTTCCAGTTACCATACCAGACCGCAAATGCATATACCCAACCAAGTAATTGATTTAAGGGAATCGTCGTTTCCCACAGACGGCGCCAACTGTTGAGGGTGAAATCCACACGGTCCGATAAGACTCCGTTTTCTTGCAAAAAAGAGAGTAGAAGATCGATGAATCTTGATAGCACCGGTGTGGTGCATGCCAAGAGCTATCCGATGATTAAGTCAGTCACCAAAGGTCTAAAAGAAAGGCAGGGATTTAATAATAGTTTTTTGTCGTACCTTTATTGATTGGTAAGATCTCATTCTTATAGTCGCTCTCCCTCAGTTCATTTGCGGGATCATAAGAGATCCGCTTGTGCGAGATCAGAGGAGATTCGCTTATGCGAGATCAGAGGAGATCTGTTTGTTGTCAGATTTGTCGAGGATATGATTTAACCCTTTTGACTTCCTCAAATTGTACCAAAGTTATCCTTACCCTATTGAACCACGTCATATTTCATTATCATTGATAATGAAATATTTTCATTCTTATCCAATGGAAATATCATCGTTCGAAAGTCGAAAAGGTCTGGTGGCTGGTCAACACTTAGTTGCCTCTATCGTTAGGTTAAGGTAGGTCAGGTTTATTTTTCCCTATCATTTGGAATTTCTAGAACTTATAATAAGCACTCTTTTTAGGATGTACATTAGGAAAATGTTGTGATACATCACTAACTAACTGGAGGGGACCCGACATTGTTGTGCAGGAGAGGATTTTAGTTTATGAGGAAGCTTCAGTTTTTCGTTGGAGATCATGCTTTCCTTAAGGTGTACGTCACTAATGCATGGATTATTATGTAATTTGATAGGAAATGAAAATTAGCTCCTAAATTCATTGCCTTCAAGGTATTGGAAAGAAGTGGGGAGGTAGCTTAGAGACTAGAGGGTAGTTGGTTTCATCGTGGGTGAGTGACCTAATAAGTAAGTTTTTTTTTTTTTTTTTTTGAAAGGTAACTAATAACTAAGGGTTCGTTTGGCATGCGTAAGGGTGGCAAATGGGCAGGTTGGGCCGGGTTTGGGTTGGATTGAAAATGGGCGGGTCAACATGGGTCAAAACCCATATTCAACCTATTAAGAACGGGTTAAAAATGGGCGGGTTAAAAATAGGCGGATCAATCCATTATGACCCGTGGATTAATTAATTATTATTTTTAATTTTTTATATTTTTTTATTTTTAAATTTTATTTCTTATCATTTAAATACGTTGTCAGTATAAACAAATATTAGTCAGGATAAATATGTATTATGTAACCACCATTGAACATTGGTACGCTATTTTGGCTTTTTATGGCTTCCCATTCAACATAAATGGCATTTAAGCATTTCTTCCAATAATACTTATTTAAGAATATTTATTTATTTATTTATTTATTTATTTATTTATTTATTTTTTTTTTCTCTATAAACAAGCTGAAATTGGATTAAAA